AGACTTACGACAGGAAGGTACAGGAGATTCTTAGAAAGCTGCCTTCTCCCGAGGCACTGGGAGCATGAGAGAGACAGAGCATTTGACCCCCGTGTGGGATATGTGGAGAACTCCAAAAGCAGTTGCTCCAACCCTCTTTTCTTTTTGTCTTTGGTCTTTATTGTGGGTGGTGGTTTTAGTATGTGGCATCCCAAAATAGTGGGAGTCAGCCCTCAAGAAATGACAAAATGGTGATTTGAAAAATAAAATGCAGTGCCATTCAGTGCATGTGGGTGGGCGGGGGTAAGGGAGGGGAACAAGATGTCATAAAACCAAATTAGTTCAGGTCTTGGCGCTGCATCTCGTAATGCTTTGTGTGCTTAGGAGTAGTTGGTACCTGCGAGGTGCATGCACATGGGGGCGTTTTCCCTCCTCCAGTCTGTGCTACATGTCTTCATCCCATTACCAAGCGCTTATTAGCTTTAGTTGAGCAGCACTTTGCTTTTGATGGGGGCGTTACTCAAATATAATTGTAAAAGGAATTCCTAATTGTGGCTTTTGTTTCTTTGTTTTTGAATTAAACAATGGAGACTCTAGAATATAATGTACCAGATATTTGCTTTGTGGTTTATTGGAGGAAATAATCTTCTGGTTCCTCATTCTACATAGCTGTAGCTCTAAGTTAATATTCCATCCCTTGAAACTCTGAAACTTTAGCTAACCTTCTCTGTAGACGAATTAAAGAGTGATAGTAGCCAGACGTGGTGGCTAAAGCCTGTAATCCCAACACTTGGGGAGGCTGAGGCAGGCGGATCGCTTGAGGTCAGGAGTTCAAGACTAGCCTAACATGGTGAAAACCTGTCTCTACTAAAAATACAAAATATTAGCCAGGTGTGGTGGTGGGTGCCTGTAATTTCAGCTACTTGGGAACTGAGGCAGGAAAATCACTTGAACCCGGGAAGCAGAGGTCACAGTGAGCCAAGATCAAGCCACTGCACTCCAGCCTTTGTGACACAGCGAGACTCCACCTCAAAAATATATAAAGAAATAGCTATAGTGTTTGGCAGGCTCATTGCAGAATACTCCAGAGACACATTTTTTCTCCTTAACGCCGTATTAAAACAAGTATGTTGTAATGTGGCTCTGTGAAAACGTATAAGTTAACATAGTTTATAGTACATTTTCTTGAATGTAGGTAAAAGATTTTTCCATGCTAGCATTCTGAATCTGGTATAAATTTTTTAAAATAATAATAAATGTATACATGAAGAGAAGTCGTTCACCTCCTGAAATAAATCAGTCATATAATTTAAACCACGAATAGCACAATTTTTAAAACCATTTTGCCTGGGAGAGTCTTTTGTGCCACCTGCTTCATTTAAAGACATGATTCAACTTTTTAAAAAATCTGCATATACCCCGCCCCTAACATCTTTGGTATCCTCTTTAACAAAGCAGCCAAAGTGATTTCATGTTTTTCAACAAATAATGGGAAGACATTAACCAAAAGTATAGATATTTATTATGAAGAATACACTTCGATATGCCTTTTTCACATGAGATTAGACCTTTCATTTCTAACATTGTGTGTTTAATGTTAAGAACTATTATGCCTGTGGGTTCAGTGTGTATGCTTCTTTGCTGGGTTAGTGCCTCTGGAAGGCGGACTCAGATGGATAGAAGGGTGTCTGAGCATTGTGGGACTGCTTATTTCCCCCAAAATTAACTCTTGTTTCCTTACATGATGGTTGTCTATTCAGGACAGTATTAAGTACTGTATTGCTTTGGGAATAACTTCCTGTATAGAGAAATTAAGAATCAAGAACTCACAATTGTAACAGGGAGAACTTCATTATCCCTCAGTCAGCAGTATGTAAAATAGTAGTCTCATCACATGGTGAATTTGTTGTTTTTTTTAAAATATCTTTCTTTGGCCGGGCGCGGTGGCTCACGCCTGTAATCCCAGCACTTTGGGAGGCCGAGGCGGGTGGATCACGAGGTCAAGAGATCGAGACCATCCTGGTCAACATGGTGAAACCCCGTCTCTACTTAAAATACAAAAATTAGCTGGGCATGGTGGCGCACGCCTGTAGTCCCAGCTACTCAGGAGGCTGAGGCAGGAGAATTGCCTGAACCCAGGAGGCGGAGGTTGCGGTGAGCCGAGATCGCGCCATTGCACTCCAGCCTGGGTAACAAGAGCGAAACTCCGTCTCAAAAAAAAAAAAAAAAAAAAAATCTTTCTTTGTATAAGTAATACTAATCTTAGGTAATTTTGTGAAAAGAACAGCCATTTGACTTTTGGGGAACACAGGATCTCAGCATCTGAAAAAGCCAAACAGGTAGACGAGCATTCAGAAGTTCTTGATTTCTGAGCATTTGAACTGACCAGGGCCCAGAGCGCCACTGCAGGCTTTTGTTCCTTGCCTGCCTGGCGAGGCCTGGGTAGATACGGGGTCACATGCTGCACCCCTGCTCTCAGAGCCTCCATCAGAGCAGGGCTTATCTGACAGCAGGCCAGGTCATGGCCTTCTGCCTGCTGTTCTGTCATGCAGGAGCGGGCAGGGAAGCGCATTTCCCCTAACTTCTGCTGTCAGGCTGAAAAAAGGTCCCTGGAACAGTGCGACTTTGGGGCTCGATGCAGACAGTGGGGCCGCTTCCTGGCTGGAGAATTTTCTGCATGAGGACTGATGTGACATCACCTTTCCACCTTCCACTACCCCCAGCCTGTGCTAAAGAGCCGTGTGGATTGCAAGTTAGGAGTGGGGGGCGGAAAGCTGCTGGGCACGAATGTCTCCAGTTGGCAGGATGTGTGTGTGTCTTTCTGGTTTCATTTATAAGGAATTCTTTTTAAGCGTCTCTCTTTCACCCAGCAAGGCTATCTGCTTTTGTCCTTGTGTAAAAGTCAGGAATGAGTCCAAATCCCCTCCCAGTAATCACTGGTAAGATAGTTCCTTGGAAATTTTTTTCTTTTTGTTATAGCTTAGACTTTTGGTTTCAGAAAAAGCGTACTGTTCGTCTTCCAAAAAAATATATTTTGGGGGTTGGCTCATTTAAAAAGCAATGAAAATGGCCCTGTCATTTCAAGAGAGCCATGTGGCCTAGACACTCTCCTCTAGTAAAGTCAGCATTTGTCCAGAATAGAGAAAGATCCCGTTAAAAAGTAAGCCTTGGCCTACAGAGTTAGGTTAAAAAAGACTTTTTTACAACCCAGTGATTTTTTATGACTTCGTGGTTTTTAACAATGTGTGGCCGTCTGCCAGAAGAGCCATCAACCCAGGTCCGCCTGGTTCGTCCCATCCCACCTCTGGCAGGAAACAAGAGATGAGGCAGGCAGAACAGACTGCTTCCACAGCCGGCGGGATGAGCACGTCCTCTCGCTCGGCCCCATCTCTGCCGGGAGGCAGTGTAGTGGGAAGCAGAGAAAGTCCCAGGCAGGTGGCTTCCGTTGGCATTGGCAGGTTCTGTTTGGTGAGATCGACGACGCTGGCCTCCTGTCTCTAGGACTCCTCACTCTGGATGGTGATGAGGCCGTTTTCTTTCAAGATGGGACTCACTGAGACTAGCCCAACAACCACAACTTGATTCTTCGGTTGGCCTCATGTTGCTCGGCCACTCTCTCCAGCGTTTGGTCACAGGCAGAAGAGCTATAGGCTCATCTTTTCCTGAAAACCAACCACTGTCTACCAGCTGCAGACCATGTGCTTCTAGAGCATTCCTGAGCCTCAGGCCAGCAGGTCCTGTTCCCTACAGGACATATATAACTCAAGTCTCTAGCCTCGTTTTAATTACTTATGTTGATCCGCACTAGCCCATTTTTGTTGTTACCCATTATCAGTCATTAGACTCTTCCTTCATTTATTTCATTTCCGAGGTGCTTTACACTTCCACTTTGGCAATATGTGAGATCCTGTGCATCTGATTAACCAAGCAAAGCATCTTACCATCTGTTTTCATTTACATTTAATTTCTTCACGTTTCTTTATTGGAAATTTCAGTGGTGAAAATAAAAAGAAAGGCCTTTAAAATGAAATGGTTTCCTGACCAGAAATGCTGATAGATTAGCATTCCCCTTCCAAGAATAAGCTTGAGAGGGAAATTGATTCTCAAAGTCTTGCATTTGTCTACATAGCCACATTTTCCGATGCTTAGGCAGTGTTTTAAGTGTTTTCAGAAACGACACTGAGAAGAGTGAAAAGAGCAAGTGTGTGCAACTTGCGTTTGCATGTTCTGTTGGGTGAGATCGACGCCACCGGCCTCGTATCTCTAGGACTCCTCACTCTGAGTGGTGATGAGTCCATTCTCTTTCCATGACTCATGAAGACTAGCCCAAAATGAGGAGACGGCTGTGTGTCCTCATTTTCAGAATTCACAAGAGCAGTTGTTTTTCCCTGGGTTGGTTTTAATTGATGCCAGTGATTCCATTGTGTTCCGGCATTCAGGGTCACCTGGAGGTGTCTGCGGGTGAAAGCTCCCCACTGAATTTGTGGGAGGGGGCTGCGCAGAGAACGGTGGAAGTGTTGGTCATTTATGTGCATTTTCTCAGGCGGCGAAGACCATGTGTTCTTCATTACCGCATGAGCCGTGGCAGTGCTGTGTCGGGCCTCTGGTTGAATCTTGGGATTATTTGAAAAAAAAAAAAAAAAAAAAAAAGCTGAGGAATTTAACTTTCTCCTTCATGTTTTCTGTGTTCAATTCATATTTGAAAGAAAAAACAAAATTCATATTTTTGCATTTAGGACCCACTGTGCAATATGTAAAATTTGCTTTTAATGATCTCTTGCCACATTTTCAGTCATTACCATCCCCCAAACTGACTCTCAGTGCCTCTCTAGCTATTGTAAAGATTTCCCATGCGGACATGACAGCATAACAAACAGTTGCAGCCCAGAGTAAAGCCCTGGAACCCAGGTATATGCAGAGAAGCAGAGAGCTCCTTGGGGACCCAGTGTCCATTCTAAATCTGGTATTTCAACCCCTGATGAATCCTTTTGCTGAGGAACAAATTAAGACTCACTAGTACTCACAGATGATACACAAAACATATGTAAGAGCAAGGTAACTGGAATGAACAAATAGAAGTCAGGCAAGAAACCTTTTCAGATACTTACTTAAGTCTGGAGATATAAAAATACTTGTATATTCTGAACGACCAAAGTGTAACCATATCACTAGGCAGGTCAGTTGCTTAAGATTTCCCAAGTAATACCCCAGATTTCTCTCAACAGCATTTTAAATTAATATGCATTGCCCAAGAGATGATTATTATCACTATGTAAGAAGAAGAGATGATGCAGTCCCTAGAAGTTGCATCCAGAGGAATAATTTACAGATTAACTCAGTTTTTTATGTGATCTGCAAGAGCATTTCTAGTACGCTGTGGTCTTTTCTTTGTTCTGGAAGAAAAAAAAAAAGCCACCTTGATTCCCAAAATATGGAGTTAAAACCCAATTTGAGAGTATAGAGATGACAATCATTTACTCAGAAATTTTGCTCTAGAACATTTGAACCAACACAGTCAACAGTCATAAGCTAAGAGCTTGATTGTTCTTTCTAAGTAATTTATAGATCTGATTTTCACATTTACATTACAGCCTCCCTTGTATGGTGGAAGAGCTTCCTGAATAAAAATGTGATTTACAGCATCAAATTCTTGACAAGACAGAGGTTTGAGAAATTGCTGTAGGCCGGTTGTACCTGATTACACCCTGACCGCCCTATTTTCAAATAGTCTGATGGAGTTATTTTCAGACATCGGAAGCAGTTGCTGCAAAGTGTCCTTGAATTAGCTTTCCCAGGCACATAGCAATAACTGTGAAGTTAACATTTTTTAAGTCCTTACAACCAAAATTTTAAACTAGCCCTTTGTTTCAAGAACATACCTCTCTGAGTTGTGCTTTATCCTGGTTAGTTTTTATCAAGGCATCATTTCATTGTTCATTTAACTGTCAGATATTTTTGAACACGTACAGTGAACAGAAAGATGGGATATCTGTCTTTAACTAGCTAAAATCCTTTGGGGAGACAGCATGGAGAATTTGAAATGCAAGACAGATGTTCACCGGAACGCTCCTGCTGTTGAGCAGGGCATCCATGTGGTGGCCGCATCTCACCAGAAATGCCCAGGTTGTCAGCAGCGGCCCCACGTGTGCACGTTTGGCTGACGTTATGTGGCGTGAGGGCTGCCAATCACAGCACAGGCATGGTGACCTTGTGGGGCTTGTGACCCTTGCTTGTCCAAGGAGGCTCTGCCTTCACAGCCCCAGCTCTTCCTCCCACTCTGGGCCTCGGGTGCTTTTCCTAAGATCAGTCATCTCGCCGCTCCACTTCATCCTGCTTTCTTCCTCAGCCTTGTGCAGCTGTTTTTCTACACATCAGTGTGAGTACTGCCTCCTACTGTGTTAGGCTATAAGTTTACAAAGACCTTTTTCATACCTTTTCCCCCCAGCAACCTGATAAGGTAGAGGAATCACTATCATTTTACACGTCAGGAAACTGAAGCAAAAAGAGCGTCGCTGACTCATAAGAACCTACACGCAGCAGATGGCAGGGGTGTTAATGGAACCCCGGCCCCGTGGCCTGGACTGTCCATCCATCTGTAAAGACCTCACCAAGCAAATTGCTATTGAACATCTGTGTGTACGAGGCAGACTTTGAACTCCAGTTAGGCAGCACACACAAAGCAGCAAAAGCCACCTCTCCTGGTGCGTACATGCTGGTGAGACAGAAATGGAAGAAATGCAGAGATTTGGGTGAAACCTTTTCAAATTCAGAGGCTGGGAGTTTCTAGTTCAGTTTTAGCTCACTCTACTCAGCAATGCAATTGTTACTCTAGAACACTCTGAAGTCTTTACGACTTTTTACCATCGTGAAAATAAAGGGAGGGTTAAAGTGAAACTTGATCCTCCTTGGTCTGCGACCAGCAGGATATGCTTGTCTCCCCCCACCCCAACCTTTTTAAAAACAATTTTTTTAAAGGCTTTTATTAATCACAGATGTCCCAAGTTTACAGACTGGGCCTAGAAAACAGCCTCTCTTCTCCCAGCAGTCTCCGCGTTTTGTGTGTTCACATGCTGAAACTCTTCCTGCATGGCGCGGAATGTCAGCACTTCTGCTTTCCCTTCTTTCTTTACCTTTTTTCTTTTTTTATTTAAAAAGAAATCTAGCGTGGACTTTTTATGAACTCTTATTTCAGCAAGGAAGCCATCTACTGAGGATTTTTCCCTCAAAATAAGAAGGGATGAACTTTAATTGATTCTCTCTTGGGGCTTCAAGCAGATCATAGATGGCTTTCTCATGTGCTCAGCTGAACATCTTTTTAAGTGACTGCGATGGGCTGATAGTATCTTTTTGTGCTCAGGTTTACTTTGTCCTGTTAATAAGGGATAAGTTGTTTTTAAAAATAGAAAGGAGTAATTCATCTAGATTGCTTAATTCATCCTTCATATGTCTAAAAGTGGTTTTTAGTACATCCTAGACACCATGTTAGACCTGCAGTTATAAGTCTAATTGTGATGAAACCTAATTCTCGTTTTCTAGGTACTCACAATTAATGTAAACACAGTGTAGTGAGTTCTGTGCTATCATGGAGTCCTTTATGCGTCAGTCATCCTACGTTTGTAAACAGCACTTAACAGTTTATAAAGTTTGTTTGTTCCCATTATTTCTTTTAATCCTATTACAACCCTGTGAGATGGGGAAAATCACATGCCAAAATGTTTGCTGTGGAGTGGGAGCACCAGGCTCACTTGGGCCCTTTGACGAGTCCAGCACTTCTGACATCCCTCATAGATCATCCATCTGGGCCTTGGATCGTGGGTTGCCCCAAGCTGAAAAGGGGGAAACACATTCCCAAACCAGGCCTAGAGGGAACTGAAGGCATTCTTGCTGATGAGGAAGTTAGTGATGGGGTGAAAAAGCAGAACTGAGAGTTAGCTGACTTTTTTTCTTCCAAGATGGTAAGAGTTGAGGGAAAGGCAAGAGATAAGGAACTATTTCTTTGTATAATAGATGGGTCTTTTTTTTTTTTTTTGAGACAGAGTCTCGCTTGTGTTTGCTTCAAAATTAGTCAGGATATACCACTAACTCAGGACATCGCCATTCATAGTAGTTGACTTATCAGTCACTATGCATAGACTAAGAAATAATAGCTTGCAGCTGGTTCATTGGCTTGCCTGTTTGTCATTTATTCAGTGTATACTCAGTACGCTCCAGGTGTGTGCCAGGCCTGCTGGCACCTGGGCATATAGTTGGAAACAACCAGACATGTGCCCTCGAGTCTACGATCATGGTTTGCCTCCTGCCTTCACAGTTGCCCAACTAGGAAGATGTGGTCGGAGCCTATTACACAGGGCTCTGACCACAGGGCTCTCCTTTTGAGGGTTACTCTTGTTATGGGGCTGAGCTATCCACAATCAAATCCTGAGCAAAAAATTCAGGACAGAGAGCCAAAAGGACAGGAGCATGTCTACACAGTGTGGGTGTCTGGGCAGGAGGCCTCATGCTTCTGTGTTCACAGCCATCAGGACCTCTTCTGGGAAAAGGCAACTGTGTGCACAAAAGTAATTTAAGATCTTCCCATGGAGACTTCGGAATTCTAGAGCTCTGTGTTTATTGTGTGATATATCCTTATCCTGCCCAATAACTTTGGAGACCTTAATTCTACTCAACATACCATTAGGACATGGGATTTAATTCAAAATTTGCAACAGAATAGCTGGTTTAGTGGGCAAAGTATATTCTTCAGATACCTAAAAATAACAGCAGATACTTTATTTCATTCTGTTAATGATGGTATTAAGTTAAGGACTTTTAAAGCTTTTTTAACTCCTAATGTGTACGTTGTATCACAGCCCAGCAAAGAACTTAGGCATGGGCTGTTACATTCCATTGATAAAGGCCAAAGAAGTTTCTGTTGTGAAAAGAAAAAAAAAATTGTCTACCCCCCGCCACCCCAGAAGAGTCAAATAGCATGAATAATTGAGCATTCTTGTTAAAAACAAGGAAAAGGGGAAAGGGTCATAATTTTCCCTCTACATTTGCAGACTTCTGAAACAAATTTTTTTTCAAAGTAAAATGTTTTAAATTCCACAAAATTTTTCTTATAGTTTATGACTACTGCTAGCCTTTTTAAAAGTCATAAATATTCCAGCATAGTGAAAGAATGTCACTTCCGTCATTCGATAAGTAAGAACTCGGGGGAAGAACCTGCTTATTCTCATCAACGGCAGTGTCACACCATCCTTTGCATTTCATCTGTGGCACCGATGAGCTCCCACCTTGGGCAGCCCTGACCCCGCCTGGTTCTAGGAGGGACTGCTTAGGCCACAGCCACATTTTTAATGCCTAACCTGCCAGGTAACCAGGAAATCTTTTTTGAACCAGCTTCCCAGAGTGCAGAGAACCCAATCTTTGCAGCTGAGCCCACAGAGAAAAGCTGGGGAATGACGTATTTAATTTCCTTTTCTTTTTCAACCATTTTTACAAGAACCAGCTCCTTTCCCAGGCAAGGCTAAATGCCCTGGGAATCATCCTTGTAACGCCAGCTGGGTGCCACAAAGCATTATTAATTGACTGTGGTTCCTTCTCTCATGCGTGCAGAGGCCGCTGGATCTGCTGAACAGTAGGGAGGTCTGTGTGCGTCAGGGCTGCCCTGTGTCCCTGCCTGCCCTGCATGCTCTTTTCTGAGAGCACACCTGCTTCTCTGTAGTCCTGCAAGTCTGGGTGGACAGAAGGACCAGGCGAGAATTCTTGGTAGGTGTCACTTAGGGTTCATACCACTCCTATGCCAACTCCTCCCAAATTCTAACTTTTAGACCCAGAAATGTCTGTGAAGTTGATTTATTGGCTGAGGTCCTACTAGTTGTGATGTGTACATTTTCTGCTTATGAACATTAAGACCTGCACTTGATTTTATTTCATTAAAATAAGTGGGCCTGGGTCTTTTTGTGTTGTTTTGTTGTGTTTGTTTGGTCTCTTATCAGTTTATCCAAGGCACAGCAGAGCTCCTTGGTGACACCTCACCACATCTCAGGCATCTGGGGTGTCTTCCGACCTCCCCACGGGCCACACCCGTAGTTCCTTGCCTTGTGCAGTTGTGAATCTATGTCC